GAGGGTCCCTCATGGCGAGCCGCCAGGCAGGGGCCCGGCCCATCTCTAGCTCCTCACAACAGGTTTGATCGATCAGCCCAAGCCACGACTTCCTCGGTCGTCCCACAGGCCTCCTCCAACCAGGGTTGTCTCGAACATAGACAACCTGGTGGGCAGGGTCATCCTGCGGGAATCGAGCCAAGTGGCCGTATAGACTGAGTTGGCGATCGCGGATTGTGCAAGTAACAGGTCCTGTATCAGTCTCACAGTGCAACCATTGGTTGGACACATGCACATGGTCCCACCAACTGTACCCCATGATCCGGTGCAAGGATCTGTTACAAAAAGCATCAAGACCAGATTCCAAAGCACAAGATAGCATTCAGGTTTCACTACCATATATAGTAAAACTGGCAGCATCAGGGCTTTGAAAACAAGTAGCTTGGTCCTTCTGCACAGGTACCGGCATCTCTAAATACTCTTGTCGAGAGGTTCCATGACCCCTGCTGCTATGCCAATCCATCTATTGACTTCCTGGTCTGACAGCCCAAAGTCATGAACTGCACTACCGATGTATATAGAACTCTGTGACCTCGATGTTTTCACCGCAGGCACGTACCGACTGCACAGGGTCTCCTAGTAGGCCCCCAAAATCCTGGATCTTGGTCTTGGTCCTGGAAACCTCTAGCCCCAAGGGCTTCACTTTATTGCTAAATGCATTAAGAGCCGCCACTAGGGTTTCCAGAGATTCAGATAGAATGGCATCATCATCAAAGTCAAGGTCTGTAACCTTGATATTGCCCAAAGTTTCTCCACAGTGACTTTGGACAGTAGTTCTACCCAGTATCTAGTCCATGCAATTGTTGAAAAGTGTTGGTGCAAGAACACAGCCTTGCCTCACTCCTGAACTAACAAGGAAGAAGCTTGACAGGCCCCACCACACTTTACAGCACTTTCAATGCCTGTATATGGGCTTGCTATTAATCCAATAATCCTTGTTGGAATTCCTCTTAGCCTCAGGATCTCCAAGAGTGATTCGCGATGCACCGTATCAAACGCCTTCTTGAGGTCGATGTAGGCTGCGAGCAGCCCACGTCTGAACTCACGACGGCGCTCTGCAATGACTCGAAGCGCCAGGATGCCGTCTATTGTGGACTAACCAGGAGTGAATCCATTACCCGCATCCAAGTTGACTGTTGGTGGATCACCTTGACACAACTGCTCAAAATACTGAGCCCAACGCACATGCACCCCATCAGGATCTTAGATAGTCTGGCCATTTCCTGAGCGGACTTCAGTCGTCTGTGAGGAGGGCTTGGAGTTCAGCTTTCTCAGGGTTTGGTAGGCAGGGCGAAAGTCCTTTACTAGGAAATGGCTTTCGACCTTCTCTGCAAGATTCCTGATAAACTGTTCCTAATCCCTTCTCAACAGTGACCTAGTCCTGGGCACCAGAGTGTACCAACATACACTCATCCTCCCTCAATCTGTCCACATGAAACACCCTAGGGTGTTCATTGGGGCGACGGGGGGTTCTAGAGTAGCCAAAACTAATCTATGATCAGTTCCACAGAACTCGGCACTTCGATACACCCTGCAGTTCTCGAGGATCCTCCATCGAGTGCTAATGAGGATGTGGTCGATCTCCTTGTCCACACTACCCGTATCGCAAGTCCAACGATGCAGGTCAGAACAGTGATACCAGGAGCCAGAAATCCTTAATTTCTGGGCCCTAGCAAAGTCACAGAAAAGGAGGCTATTCTCGCTGCTAGCGTCGGCTCCTGAGCCATGACTGCTTAGGAGGAAGCTTACAGGATGTGCAAAGACACATGCAGACTGCAATAAATCAGGTTGTGCAATGGGCAACATATCATGGGTTTAAATCTTTTCTGGCTGTTGGATCTCCCCAGTTCCCCCCTTGGACCTATCAAGTCGAGGTGGATTTGGATTTGGTCGGAATAGGGAAAGGGGAGAGAGTTTCCTTCAGTACACTTATAAGTACCAAGGATCAGATGCAATATTTACTGATGGTTAAAAATCTGAAAATGGTGTGGGCTTTGCAGCAGTGAGCAGAAGGAAGACTGCATC